ACGAAACGTTGGATACAGGCGGCCAATGGATACAGGACTGGCCAATGTAAAGTCCCCCTGCCCCACCGAATCTGCTTGGAGATTAATCTTTTACAACTCTCAATGGTACATGTATCTCCTACCTAATGTCTTGTCGTGCTAGCGTCGGTAAGTCAGTTAGTGGGTTCCTGTCCTGACACCTTTCTATGCTCTGTAGAATGTTCTGCACTGCTGATGTCTTGGGTAAGTCCATCAAGCCGTCTGCCCCCACCCGCCTGAGAAAATGGTCCTGTCCAAGGTAGTCACAGATGACCTGCAGGGTAGACACAAAGAGAATTTTTGTTAGGAGAATCGTACTAAGTCTTCATTCTTTTGCAGTATCTTCTCTGAGAGTATCTTCTGTTCAGTACATCAGTCAAATACAGTCAAAACTGCTCAAGAAGACCACATAGGGGACCAATAAAAATCTGGTCTATGTGGACAGGTGGTCACTATTGACAGCGTTCTTGTGAAGTTTTGTCAATCGGAAAAATTATCAAAGGAACCACAAAAAGCGGTCACATTGGCCAGGTGATCCTTATGTAGAGGTGATCACTTGTGCTGTAACAGGATTGATTGTACTACTATACATTTGATAATTGGCTCCACCCTAGGGTGTTACTTAAACCATAAAACATTGGTAGTGATACTCGTAAGAAAATTCAAACTCTACTACTGGATCAGTTATGGATTTTTATTTATTTCCGGACGTTTCGAGCGACATCCATCACTCTTCTTCAGCGTCACAAATGAACAGAGAACCGATTCACTCTTATATACACTGGAAACGTCTGGAAATAAATAAAAATCCGTAACTGATCCAGTAGTAGAGTTTGAATTTTCTTATGAGTATCGTTTACCTGGATGTCTAACCTTCATCAACGTATTGGAAGTGATGTGTGTAAATATGATGCTTGTAATGTATTGTTATTGTACATAATGTATGTTACCATTACTGAAAAGTCCAGGAAGTCTGAAAGACTAGTGGTGTGCCCAAGAAACTAATAGATTTTTTTAAGAAAGCCTCACAAAACCATGCGGTGGTGTGCCTTAATGGCAGAGCATTCAGCTCGGAACCAAAAGGTCCTGGGTTCGAACCCTGCCATGTCATCGATCTTGATGCCCTTGGAAAAGGCACTTTACACGACTTTCCTGGTTGAGGCCTGGCAAATCCCATCTCATATTAGCTACAGAATCTTCAGCTAGTTGAAGGTAATCTGCCTCAAAAATGAAAGAAGAAAAAAAAGAAGCCTCACCAGCCTGTCACTGCTGCAGTGTTTCTGCAGGACGACTAGGCTGCAGCCCTCCATCAGTTCCGCCTGCAGATCCTGCAGGAAGGCTGCGAAGAACGGCAGGACCCTGCAGTCGGGCTGCGCCGCCAGGCGCCGGCGGACCGTGGAGGAACAGCGCGCCACCTCCAACATCCGCAGGGGCAGTAGGTCTGACTTAGGCAGGCCGTCCAGCAGGGGCTTCAGCTGCTCACATCTGAGGATAGGAATGTCGGGATGTTTTACTTTTAAATAGCAAAACAGACTGGATCAAACCTTTTGGGAGACTTCTGTGGCTACGTATTTGAACAACATAGTACATGACATGTAAGCTATACGCTGTGCAATTCTTGTGCAATAAAGTTTATTCAGTAATTGATTAAATTTCTTTGTTTTTTTGTTGATTGCGATTTGGGAATGCGACAACACAATACACATGCTTGAATCATGTAGTACATTATTAAACATTTCAACTAAGTCTGTACAAACCTTCACACCAAATACAATGTCTCTTCTCTTGGCTTCCCAGCAAGGGACAATGCAATGAATACAACAAAGAAGCAATACATGTGCATGTACAATAAATATAGTTTTTACTAACAATCCAGTCAAAACAATCTGTTGTATTGAACTACATGTAATCATTAAGTCAAGAATCATACAGTATACATAACTTCGTTCCAGTTTGTGTCCATGCTACACCTAGCTGTTAGGATGTTGTTGTTACAGTACTCGAAAGCTCAAAAGTAGCTGATTCTACTTGAAACATCTGGCAGTTTTCAAAACCTATCCAGTTGCTTGAGTAGCAATTTCTCTTGTACCTTATTATAATTATACCTGGATGTCTTACCTTCATCAATGAACATTTATCATGTTAGAGTAGACCTACATGTAGCCTGTGTTTACAAATTAAGCTCTTGGTCACAGAAACCTTTGGGCGGACCAGCCGCTAGGAGCAAAATTTATAGTCAGGCTAGAGTAGACCCACCTGATGCCTGTGAGAATCTCCACCACAGCGTTGTAGTTGCCGATGTTCCAGCAGGTCACAGCTACACACACCAGATAGGACAGGGTGGCACGCTGTTCCTCCGGGGTCTTACCACTCAACAGCAGGGTGGTCACCCAGCTAGTCACCTGTGAGATGGGAGAGTTAATGGGATACAGCTTGACACAGTAGATCTTGAATGTTTGTTGTGGTTTTATTATCACAGTTTTTGTGGTGACCTTTTACAGTCACTGTGATAACACATGCTGTAAATGCTGTTTTGAAATTCTACAACTGTACTACGGAATTGTTTCCACTTTGGATTTCAAACACTGCAATTGTGCAAAAGTACATGTATGTGCATTTACAGTAACCATGTTCTTTCTCCATTATATGGAACAAGCTGCACTTCAGCTTCACTCAAGTTTATCATTAGCAGACTGGCACTCACGTTTTTGAATTTATGTTGACAGAGTTTGGCTTTATCTACCTGAAAAAATACATGCTAATTTCTACCTCAGAGTCTCCATAACTCAATCCACAGAAACTACATCAGTTGTAGTCGAAAGTCTTACCTGGTAGAAATGTGCGATCAAGTCTTGACAAGAAGCCCCATCCTGTCCTTCTGGAGCCCCCTCCCTGTTGAGGTTGGTGCAGAGGTGCTGTAGGTACTGCCCTGGTGGGACTGATGCGAACAGTTGCAGCTCTGTCTGTGTCAGGATCAGGGCTGCCTCCTCCGGGAAGTGGAGAACGTTCTGGAACTGGTCCAGCCTGCTGGACAGGTGGTCATCCTCCTGGAGGCCTTCTGGCACTGAAATTCATGTACAAAATTTATAACATAGATTTTTAATAGGGCTTTTCTCACGAACAAAAAAGTACTGTATTGAAAAACTCATCTTCCTGTAGACCTTCTAGTATGGAAGTTCAAGTGCAAAATTTGAATAAACTTAACAGCTTTTTCACAAGAAAAAAGGATTAAAAAACAAGGTACTTACATGTGTATCTTCTTGTAGACCTTCTAGCACCGAAATTTATGTACAAAATTTACAACAATAAGCTTTAGGACTTTTTCACAAGAATAAAAGTACTGCAAAACAATGTGCCCATATTCCTGTAGACCGTCTGGCACTGAAGTTCATGTACAAAATTTACAAGACTAGCTTTTAGGGCTCTTCCACCAGGAAAAAAGTATTAAAACAAGGAATTCGAATATGAATTCTTGCACTGATCCATCTTTGACGTTTATGACCATGAACTCTGTAGAACAGCTACAAATTTAAATCTGGTAAGTGCAAACATCTGGATTTCATCTGCACATGAAAGCAAGCTATTTTATTTGATAATCAGCATGCCGCAACAAAGGTTATTCTCATTTTGTTTAATCAGTAGTGCCTACTTTTATCTGAAAAATCGTTTGCATTGCATATTGGTTCTATTTCCTCAGCTTTCATGGTCACCTCCCTCCTTTTCTCTAATAAAATAAACCAGATTAAGATATGAGGGTGCCTTTTTTCTTTTAAGAAAATGCAATAAAAATGTTTAAGGAATGTATTACTGAAGAATCAGCAGCATCAGAAATACGTTGATATGAGTTGAATCAGATAGTCGGATACAGTCACGTTTCAAAATAAAAGGTCAGATCTTCAGATATAAGATTTACGTTGAAGTACATTATATTGTACATAATTGTACGCCAGAAAAAATATCCCTCACAGCAGTAGTGAGGAAGTGTTGCCTTCCACCCCAGGTTGTACATGGCCTCCCACAGAGTCGGGTACCTCTCCTCGAACTGTGGGCACGGCAGGGCTCCCAGGTACCGGCTGCCTCTCTCTGCCTGACTGAGGGACATGCAGCCGTAGCACCAACAACAGGCGGGGTGGGTCTGCCGCTGCCATGGCAACAATCTGAGGCAGATAACTGGGCTGGGTGGGCTGTCCGGAGAGGGTAGATGGACATCCTGCAATATAGAATAGAAATATTGATTAGAATAATTTACAAAATTGTGTGAAGTATTTAAAGCCTTAGATTGATATTTACAGGACTGTGTGTTTCAATTTCAGGTACTCAACTGCTATCATGTGCGTACAATGTAAAAAAAACTAACTTTATGGTGCACCATTGGCACAGGTTTGCTCCTTTTCTCTATGTTGATCTTGCAGAAATAAGTGTTCCTCAAATTTTGTTAACTCAAAGAGCAAACATAACGGTACAGGGTTAAGAAGCAAGAAGGTAAAGAATCCACAGATCTGAGGACACAGGTTAAAATAGTATTACTGAGAAACAGGACGTGACAACTTTATACGTTTATATAATCCCAGAGCTGATATAATCCTTTGGTCTGATGACCAGACTGGCCATTAAAGTTCAGTGAAAGGTCAGCAGAGTCATTTCATCAAATCGTCGGACCAAAGCCACCTGCTACACCACTGGGCACATGGAGGCTGCTCAGATGCCAGGAATTGTGATTGAGATACGGAAGCAAAAATACACTGAACACATGGCACTTAATGGATGACTTCATCAGCCACAGGGAAGAGGTGCTTTAACAGAAATATTCCTAGAAACCTGGCATGTGTACTGTACATGTGGTTGTGGTCATTACATGTAACATCTGTGTCCATAATATCACCAGGGTCCATAATATCGCCACCTTGAGAAACAGTGTGCTTAAAGATATTTTTACTGCAACATACTTTTGGTATGCACTCCTTCACACATCAAATGTACATACCTAGGGTATGTTGCAGTAAAAATATCTTCAAGCACACTATTTCTCAAGGTGGCGATATTATGGACCCTGGTGATATTATGGACACAGATGTTACCTCTGGGAATGGAGGAATTGCTTTGGGTGGGTTTGTCTGAGAGTTTGTGTGTATATTGGTCCAGAAAGACTAGTTTGACAGCAGGTGGGTGGGGAAAGATTGACAGGCAGAATGACAGAAGGTCAAAAGGTCAGACACAGGAAATGGGGGTGAACTAGAAGGTCAGAGAATCTGGCCAGGACTCAGCATGATATGGGGGAATTCAGGAAGCCGAGGACTGCATGAACAACCCTCCAATCCTGCGCAGATTTTGGGGGGCCCGCAAGCCTTTTTCCATAGAGCGTAATCGGCCGTTTTATTCTACGTAGAGCGTAGACGGACCGCTCTAATATTTTTGCGTAGAGCGTATTCGGCGTTTTAATTCTACGTAATGCGTTGTAGCCACTTGGAATTTATCGTAAAGCGTAATCGAGAGGTTTCCGAATTCAGCGTAGAGCGTTGTCGGGACCCCCCCCCCCTGCAGGCCTCATTTTGTTCTTGAGCTGATGACAGTATGTCATACTATCTCCATGGTTGTTCCAACATATTCACAAAAACCCAAAATAGTTCCAGGAGGTCTGAAATCTCTGATGTTTTATTTTGAGATTGGTTTAGTCAATCTGGTCTCCAGTCCTAAAACTGCTAAGTCCAAATTAAACACAAAGAGGAGTATGGCATTTGACATTAATGAAAATGATTTTCATTTGACCTGTTCTGAAATACATCTACTACTACTAGTACTCTTACATCTTATCAGACACATGGTCACACCTGTTAGTCTCAGCTCACATATCAACATGTAGCAACAGTTATTGCAAATTTAGCTCAGGCTGGCCTAATTATTAGCCTGTGTTACACAAGCTCTCGGCCGGAGGTTATAACCCCCACCCCAAGGGGGGCGGCAACTTCGGGCGGCCAGCCGCCAGGAGTGCGATTAGTCAGGCTAGCCTATATAATTATTAGCCACTTGAAGGCCCTTTAAAGACTTCAGACACCACATTTATGATCAAAGTAAGTCCTTGTCAGACATCAGTCCTCTTTCTTTGATGTCGCTGCGGTAGATTGATGTAAAGTAACATTTGTCACACTGATGCTTCTGTTCTGAGCTCAGTATCTGAGTGTATAAGGAGGTTAGGCGACATCCAGGTAATAAGATACGCCAAAAAGCAGTTACTCAAGCAAAGTTATATCCAGTTGCTTGAGTAACTGCTTTTTGGCATATATAACATGAAATTACAAGGAATCCTGGTCAGGCAATCACATGGTGCAGATATAGACAACCACCTCCATTTACAAGCAATGCCAAGCAACCAACTGTTGATTTCACACAACCAGCAAATCACTTTTTTTTTGCAGTCCCCAGGGAGTATTCATATGTAAAAACCCAAAATGACTGACAGCGGCACCCAGCAGCTATCATTTCAAATTGAGGATTTCAGTGGGTGCTAGCATCGTCAGCCAATTAAAATTACAGTCAAACTCTATGATTAGATCCAATATTCTCCTCGGTCCCTTGAGTGGATGCTGTGACCAGACTTGACTGTATTACATAAAAATGCACAAGCCTGGTTGTTGATCTGTTACAAATGAATCAAATCATAACTCAGTCACAACTCAGAATAATCTCTGTAATTTTACAGTCTAGGTCAACAGTGTGGGAAACCTGACATCTGGTATATTGGAGACACAAAGTCATTTCTTGTTACTAATAGAATTCGATGATAGGCAAACATCTCCTGATCATGATGGTTGTAATCACGCACAAGTGCCATTTAAACATTTGCAGTCTTACTTTACACCCTCGAGAAGCACCTGGATACACCAGCACACAATTGGGTAGTGACAGATGGTGCCAAAAGACTACATAACTGTATGTTAGGCCTGGGAAAATTAAGGCTGTGTTTCTGATTACTGTCCTAGAAAAATTAGGGTTGGAAGATTGAGTTAGGGATTCTCGCTTTGTTTTTAGATTTCAGCCAAAGTTACAACAAATATAGTTAAAGTTGCCAAATGACAAATGAATGTAAAACTGAAAAGCATCAGGATTCAGTGAACATCATGATCATATTCTAATCACATAAGACTGAATATATTATAAGTCATACATTTGTACAATTATAATTACAGACAGACCTTTCCACCCACCTTTAATACTGGAAACAGCCTGGAAAGTTCTGCTAACCCTGCTGACACCTTCCTTCCCCTGTAAGACTTCGGTAGAACAAACTGTTTTCCATCAGTCCATTGTCTCCACAGCTTCTGATGAACGACACTCGGGTAGCTTCTTCTCTCTCTCCTACAGCCGTCACACGTGTCCTCTGCAACATTCTCCCCAAAGCGTCCGTCTGAGTAGGTTTCGAAAGTCCGCAACTTTGTGTAAACCGGCTTCTTTATGTCCTGCCCGCTTTTTCTGAACCGCCTGACCAACCGGCGCATACGCTTATCCGACGAGATGATGCGTACGCCGCTGGTGTCGCTATGCCGACGGGTCTGCAGCGCGACATCCCCGTTGAGGTTGTCGCCGCAGTCAGAGTGGTGCTCCTCGCTGTCGGAGCTGGAACCGTCCAGGTGATTGTCGATGCAGCCGGTGCGAACGCGGATGGTGGTCCGAGGCGAGACCTGTCTCTCCTCCACGACCCTGAAGTGCGGTCTCCTCTCCAGACATCTTGCCATGCTACCCTGGAAAATAAGAACAACTCTGTAAGGAAAATGTTTAACAACTTAAAAAGAAAATTAAGGTACTGACTTGTTATTAGGGTAAAATCCACCAAATGTATTAGGGAAAGTTCCACCAATGTCCTTCTCTAAGCTGCTGCCTATTTCTATGTGAATTGTTGCAGTTTACACAAATAGCAAAGGCTTACATGTACAATGTACACACTCAGATAGGATTGCAACTGACTGCCATGGATCTCGCCTGAGTATACAATGTGATTACATGTACGTATATACAAAATCATAATAGAATTTTTCCGTTTTCAAATCAAATATTTATGCTATGCATGCATTGTAGAAAGTCTTTCTCCAGATTCCATATCAGCCACAAATATCCTCATGGTCAATCTAGCCTGGTATACTATATTCTCAACCTTCATGCATACATGTACATGTATCGTATACTAGTGCATCTACAGCAATCTACATATACGTAATATATACCCTGCAGATGGTCTGTCTGATACAGATCATACAAACAGTATGTTCAGCATCACACAGAGAAAGATGCTGTGTTGGACAGCGAAATGACATTTGCTGTACCAAATGTGCCAAAATGTTTAACTGAAAACGTATAAGTTAAGGTAAATGCAAAAACATTTACACATTAGGTATACCATGCTTAAAGTAAACTGCCCTAGAACAGGCTGTCTTTTCTCTACCACATGTTTCCCAATTGCTTAGTATAATAATACAAATTGTATTTTGTATGTCATTGCGGGATCATAATGAACCTGCCAAGTATGTCTGCTGCATAGAAAAATTGACTATTCAGTGAATTCCATACACTGATTGTTTTACAAATTTCTCATACATACAAGCAATATGCAAGTAAAGGCAGAATTTATAAGGCTTTGTGTGTATAGTCGACAGGTTACATGTATCGCAATAGTACCCTCTTTATAACTAACATGCTTGACTGATAGAAGTAACAGACTAAACACTGTCAATGTCATTACTTGGACCTATAACACATCTCATCTCTCTTGTTATAAACTGGCACGCTGAGTCTACACACTAATCTGTAGTCCTGAGCCCCCCCCAATTTGTAGGTCTGGCAGTTTTCTAGTCTAATAACCAATCATTTATCATGAAGCCTTTTTCAACAAAACTTGATTGACAGTTAGACCTCACAAGGAGAAAATGCAATTTAGTGAAATTCTCTCTCTCCTTGGCAGAAACTGGATCTGGAACAGGATAAAAGTTGGACATATTTAGAACAATCTATGCTACGAGTACCGTCATACTAGTTACATTTGCTAAAAATGCTTTTGGTGTCAGTACCTTGTGACAACTAATGATATATGTATGTATTAAGTTATATAGAGTCATACTCTGAGTCAGAAATGAAAATATGGTCTTGGCAGCTCAATGAATATTATCTAAAAGCCATCTGAAATATTAAATACTATTAACCTGCATTAACATTATCAGGTAGCTTACATAAATCCACCCCTTTGAAAAATAGCTATGAGTACCGATAGTTAGACTTGCTAGATGCTTTTGGTGTCAGCATCTTGTGACACCTAATATACATATATTGTATGTCTAAAGTTATAGAGCCGTACTCTGAGTCAGAAAATAAGGTATGGCCATGGCAGATCAATGAATAATATCTAAAAGCCATCTGAAATATTAAATACTATTAACCTGCATTAACATTATCAGGTAGGTAACGGGTTACATAAATCCACCACTTTTAAAAATAGCTAGCGAGTGCCGATAGTTAGCTTTGCTAGATTCTTTTGGTGTCAGTACCTTGTGACACCTAATATACATACATATGTATATTGTATGTCTATAGTTATAGAGCCATACTCTGAGTCAGAAAATAAGGTATGGCCATGGCAGCTCAATGAATATTATCTAAAAGCCATCTGAAACATTGAATACTATTAACCTGCATTAACATTATCAGGTAGCTTACATTAATCCACCACTTTGAAAAATAGCTACGAGTGCCAATAGTTAGCTTTCCTAGATGCTTTTGGTGTCAGTACCTTGTGACACCTAATATACATACATGTATATTGTATGTCTAAATTTATAGAGCCATACACTGAGTCAGAAAATAAGGTATGGCCATGGCAGCTCAATAAATATCATCTAAAAGCCATCTGAAATATTAAATACTATTAACCTGCATTAACATTTATCCACCAAGTTACATAAATCCACTACTTTGAAAAACAGTGTGTTTGAGAGTTCTCGACTCTAGTGCAACAATCCCCAGGTACACACAGTTTAGATACAAGTACTGGCCTACATGTAATAATGCATTTTACTAGCTGATGTTGCAAAGAGATCAGTTCAGATGCATTTCTTCAGGGAGGCAGATATACAAATGTCTGTGACCTGGCAGAATTACAATGTTAGTACATTTGTAGATGTTACATGTACAGTCATATTATAAACACTACTGTGAATACCGGTAATACCATTTGCCAGAAGGATTTTAGCTTCCTTTTGCAATAACTTTAGTATTTGCCTTGACAACATACAGTGTACATTCAAATAAATGTGACAAATAAAACCAATGCTTCAAACAGAGGGAGTTAGATTGAAAGGTCGTCCCTCAGAGATAGTGGTTATATGGAGGGTTGAAAGTAGCAGGGAAAGGTCATAGCTTCCAACCCACCCCCCTGGAATAGTCGTACATCACAGAGACAAGTGCTACAGGGGGTACCACAAACACTGCAGGGGGTGTGGAGGGTGATTCATCTGTAACATTTCAGCTCAGACATCGTAATCCTGGCAAAGCTTCATATAGTTATGTATTGTTTGACAATCGTTCAAAGAGATTTAGGCTGAGGGCCATGTCTAGACTCAGCCCACTGTACATGTGCTGCAGTTACACAGCAGGGCTTGAAAGTTAATGAAACAATTACAGGTGGAAAAATTAAGTACCTACAATTTTGTGAGTTAGAAAAATACAGGTCAGAGGTATCACTATGGTAAATCACAATCTGTATCTAAGTCTACTTATAAATATATGTAGCTGCGAGAGATTTGCTTTAAACATATCTTACTATCATTTAACATTATTCAATATAACGTTACACTTCCAAGTTACAAAGCTAACTTGGTGGTAATAATCAGATTTTATTGGCAGGAAAAGTTTGAAATTAACTACAGGCATTTATCAGTACCTGATTCACTGCTAATCTATAAAAGATAACAAAGTTGCTGAAAACCACATGTATATAAAATAAAAGATATTTGTGTCTAAAACCATAAGAAAGACTTAAGTACTGAGCTCAGGATATTTGGAACATATTCTGCTTCTTACTGCTAATCTGACAACTTTGAAAATCTTGCTGAACATGTTAAATAATTAAGTGGAGAACAAAATGAAATCCACCTGATTACAATGTATCATACAGTCAATTACCTTCCTGTTGGACCAACAGTCAGCCACACAGCATGTAACGTTACAAGTCCTCTACATGTACTTGTAATGGCTCACAAGTAGTTGTTACAAAGTGTTGTACTGCAAAATGACTCTTACTGTTGAAAACCCTCCAAACATAGTACCACCCAACTGATTGACTTGCTTTGCAACTTCTACAAATATGTACCCGTACCTTGAAAATGTCAGATTCATAATTTATCAAATGAGAATAAAAGTACTACGCCTTTAGTACGTACGCAGATTATGTAAATCAACTGAAACGGAACAATAGTTTGTAAAACGTTGCCGTTGATGAAACGTTAAGAAATCGTAGAGACAAACCTGTGACATCTCGAGACAAATGGGTCTGGATTGCCTCAGTTAACAGCAAGCTAAATACTCTCACCCCGTGCTCACTTCGCTCTCCAAGCACAATCCTGGCAACCACTGAGCTGAAGTGTTGGCTGACTGCACTTACATTAGATGTACCCTGGGCTGTCAATCACGGCTGGTCCATTATACATGTACATGTCTCTTGTTAAGGGTTTAATAAGAACTGTGCTACGGGGCTGTTCCATTCAATGATTTACAGGAGAAGGAGGTGGGAAAAATTTGATTTCAAAATGAGTGTGTGGGAGTGGAGACTTGAACATGTGACTGTGGAGAATGGTAATCAAAATGTTATGGTTGACATGGTTAACAATCGTAATGACTTTCCCCCCTGTCATGATACTATATAGTGGAATAGCCTTTGGCATATCTAAATGGGTGTGTGGGACTAAGAGAGGTTAAATGTTACAGACAGGGTGTCTTCGCCATGGAAAGTGAATGGTGACATAAAATCTGAAAGTTGTGTATTTTCATTCAAAGTTGGACGTGAGACATTCAATTTATGATGTACATGTACATAGTTACTAGTAATTACTCAGTAGTACATTATACATTACGTAACATAGGTGGTCTCACTACAAAAATCATATGGCAAGCAAGATAACCTTTGTGTTTATACTAAATCATGACCTTTCGAATCCAAATATTTATGCATTGATAATACATACAGAAATGCAATACAAATTTGCAATTTTTGTTTTGAACGAATAGTCTATTTTATGAACATAAATTTCAAAACTGCTGAGTGTATTCATCATTGTACAATACAGAATTATTGTTGCAGTTAATGTGTTCATTTTGTGAGAAATTGTGACCAATAATTTTGTTGAATGCTGACAAAAATAACATTACTAACTGAAGATATCACAATCATGAATCTGATACATGAATCATATGAAAGTCATACTCAGTACTTTCTTGCACTTTGAAACTTTGACAATAATTTCTTCATTAAAGGTGTTTAAACCTATAACATCCGTGTCCATAGTATCACCAGGGTACATAATATCGCCACCTTGAGAAATAGTGTGCTTAAAAGTTAAAGATATTTTTACTGCAACATACTTTTGGTATGCACTCCTGCACACCTCAAATGTACATACCTAGGGTATGTTGCAGTAAAAATACCTTTAAGCACACTATTTCTCAAGGTGGCGATATTATGGACCCTGGTGATATTATG